CCCCAAAACCCCAAAACCCCAAAACCCCAAAACCCCAAAACCCCAAAACCCCAAAACCCCATAATAATTATACAATATTGAAGCAAAAAGAAGGGTAATTTGTTTATAAATTTGAAATCTTGAGAGCAAGAAAAGAATATTTTGGCACATATTCGATGAATTAGAATATGATATTTAGTATTTGTAAGGCTTGCAAGCAAATGCAGCCTTTCCGGCAAAAGAGTCTCCTTCTTTGATACGGAAATACCCATTTTCTCCCCACTCCTCGCTCCATGAATTCGCGGCGATCCAATATTTATGATCATCTTGCTTTCCCCATCCGATTATTTTTACTGCATGTCCTCCCATTGGCCTCCCTGCGACATGATGATAGATTCCTTTCCCATAGTTCATTAAATCTTCATATACAAGCATAACCGTCATCACAGGTCCGTTCTTCTTAATCTCTTTCTTAATAGTCTTGCTCCTAAAGCCAGTCCATGGTGATTTGCATTTGTATTTCTTATTATCCATATCAGGATCTAGGCAGTCGTTTGAGCACTTCCCTGGATCTTTAGTTTCTCCAGAGTAGTAAGGCTTGCATTCTTCAGTGGGAATTCCTCTGAACATGAGATATCCAAAAGCCGTTACTGGATTTCCACCAATACATCCTTTCTTTCCCCATATACAGGATACCAAATGTTGCTCTGAAAGATTTTTAGTGAAGTTTCCTTTAGACTTAATACAAATTCTATCTTCCAAGATTTCAACAGCTCCAAAAGCCCAGCATGATCCACATTTGCCTTGGTCATTAATACGAAATTGTCAGATATCTCCCCACTCTGTTCTTGCATCGAAATGGGTTGGGAGAGACCCATGATGATCATTAAAATCATCATCTTCTTTCATCCCCATATCTTTATCAGAGGAGTCTGATTTCTTTTCATCTTCAATCTTAGTTCCTAAGAAGGAAGAGATTTCATCCTCATCACGATCTCTGAAGACATTGTCTTCTGGTTCTACAGGAGTCCAGAGGTCAGTCTTCCTCTTTATTTCCTCTACGATTTCTTTATTAATTGGGCTATAAGCCATTGCCAATGTTAATATGAGTAAAGCTATCAAAAACAACTTCATATTAAAATATGTTAATTTATATAACTTTGAATGAAGATCCCTCTTTGCCTTTCAACTTTTTATCTCTAGAGTGGGGTTTTGGGGTTTTGGGGTTTTGGGGTTTTGGGGTTTTGGGG